GTCGTGACAATTATGGGCTTTGTACGTAATCGTTTCGGTCTCCACTTGGAGACAAAAGATAAAATGTTGGTATTGCGAATACTCCAGATTGACGTCATAATAATGACAAGTCGTCAAAAATTGGCATTTGATTTTCTTCTTTCTGATTGTGAAAAAATGATTTTTTTCACTTATATGAATTGGAATAATTTTCTTTTTTTTTTTTTTTTTTGTATTATTGCCTCCAAGGAAAACCTGGTTTGAATTAGAGTTTTTAAAGCAGTTTTTTTGACAAACTATGAAATTCGAAATTCGTTTTTAGAAAATATCGGTATTCAATGTTTGAACAAAACTTAAAACTAGTGGTGTATGGCATTTTTGAAGTAAACAGTTGAACATTTTAATCCAATAGGTGAATCTTATTTATCATTAATTAAGTTGATTATTTATACGTTCGAGAACTTTATGCAACTTGCCTTAAGGCAAAAACTTATGTCTTAAGCAAATTACTGGGACTTTCCGTACCATAATGAAATATTAGAGGAATAAAATTTAGTAAAAAATATATTTTTTGGAAATTTAAAAAAAAAATTGAAACAGAAAAGAATTTTTCTTCAAAAGCCGTCGTTACTACTTCAACACAAAAAGAATTTTTTTGAATCAATAAATTCACATGCTTAGTTTTCTTAAAAACTGGCATTTTTTGCATATTAGCTCTATCTCTGAAACGGGTAGACTTGCCTTTACCAAAAATTAATCAGCACATCTCCCTATCAATAGAAATCTATATTTTTTGAACCAGTCAAATCGGTTGATCCGTGCGCTCGAAATGTGGACAAAAAATTGTATCCGTACATACACACATCCGTTTTTTTTCTCGTAAGTATGCCAAATGTTCAGAAGCATTCAAAACTTGAAGATGTGCAAAAATTTCTCAATTTGGATTTTTGGACGATTATAATAACTTTCTCTACGGGAAGTTAACTAGATGTAAGTGGAATTTTGCCTCATGGCGAAGAAACGGCCCGCCGATCTTTTCCAAAACTAATCAGCATATATCGTATCTCAAACAATTTTTTTAATATTTAAAATTGATTCAGGTTTGCGGAATATAATTGTCGGTTTACACATACATTTTTAGTTTAATTTGGCCTCAATTGTTTGACGAATGACTTTAAACGTCTAAGAAGCATAAGCTTTTTCTTCCGGTATGTTAAAGATTGTGAAAATTTTACAAATATATTCAAGCAAACGAAATTGGTTCAATTACTAGCAGTTTGCTTTTTATAATAATATATCAGACGAAACGGTTGCAAGTGAGAAGGTCTTTTCTATTTGGTGAAAATTTTGAAATCATACTTTATTAAACGAAAAAATACACGGTATATTTTAAATTTGTTATAATAATTACTCAGTTTTTGCTTAATTGACTTTAAAACTAAAATTGATTCTAACAAGTGAGTCTGCATAAACTTTAATTACTATGGAAAAAGTTAATTATAATTAAGCACAGTAGTCGTCGCGTGCTTGAACGATTCTAATCAGAATCTATGCCGAAGCAAATGTACTTTCTATGGTGTTTCGTAGCTACTGATTGCAGTGGACATCCGCACTTAAATAATATACATTTTTGGAACAAGAAATGATAAAATGTGTTAAACAAATTAACGTAATTCATACAATTATAAATGTTATAAATATGTTTTCAAAGATATAAATTGAAAATCGTTTTTGATGAAAGCGAATTTTTGATTTTTGAAGAAAAAGTTGAGCTTTTTATTTAAATATCTAACTCTAGTTTTTATAGATTAAAGTTTAAGTTGATTGTGTATTCGTATCGTAAAGCTTTTGTAACTTGCTAAAATACTACTTACACGAGTTTATAATATATTTTGTCACTTTTTTCTACATACTTAATATCAATTTAAATATCTAAAAAGTTTTGATACACTATTATATTCTAAATGCATAATATGTATCAAGCGATAAGAGATGATTCGTGATAACGAGTTTTTTTTGGAGGCGTTCAACTTTTGATTTATGCTCACTGGAAGTAAATAAATTAAAGATTATTTGTCACATATATTCATATATAAATAAATAATATATATATATATATATATATATATATATATATCAAAATTTCCACGTTCAAAGCCATCAGCTCAGTTGCATCCAAAACGTTTAGTGTTTATAATCAAAATGCCGGTGAGTAATTATTAAGTTTTCCTTTCTGATTTGCACTATATTCAAATAAGAGTTTAATTTAAATTTATTTTATGAGTGGTTTGGTTTTTTTGTGGTGTTACTGGTGCGTATTTAATATCCCAGGTTTATTTTTTTATCGTTTATAACCCCTAGTAGATATTTGATAAGATTAATAGTGCAGTAAACGGAGCGTTTTAGGTCTGAATTTTTTTACGGTGCTCCGAATTGAATGAAATTTTGGAATTAGGTTCATCTTACCCTCAAGTTCAAAAGTGAAAACAATTCGGGTTGCGCCATCACCCCCCGGGGGACGGTACCCCCTTCTCAATTGTGTAATTACATTTTTTCAAATAACGTCGGAAATCGATAGAAAAACTAATTATAAGAAAAAATGTCTTTTATAGTTTTTCAAAAAAACTAATACTTTTCAAGTTACTGGCCACTAAAGATTCATATATTTTTGGCGTTTTTCTTCGTTTTTTTTGCAAATATCTCCTAAAATATACATTTTAACGAAAATCATGTAATGAACAAAATAATGTCAGTAAAAATCTTAATAAATCGGTATTACATAAATTTTTCTAGGAAAAATATTGAGAAAGATTTGAAAGAGCAAAGTTGTTTTTTATTTCGTTCAAGATTTAATTGTTGTATTTAAAGCCATCTAGTGTCGAGGTTTTACATTTTATGCGTTTCGGTGAAATTGGGTTTTATAGTGCTCAACATAAGCTTTAAAATGAGTGCTGTTACAAGTTTTTTGCGTGTAAAATGAGTGAGCTATCGTGCAAATAAGAAGCATATACGAAGTTTTTTTCTTTTAAATCATATGGTTTAATGAGCGCCATTTCCACCAGAATTAAAGTAATTTACATTCCATCTAGAATTCACTTCATTATAGACATCTTGATGGATTCTGGCAGATTCACTACTTTAGTACAAACTATGTTCAGAAAACTCACGATTTTATAAAAACTTTTTTTTTCCAATTTTTAAAAAAATCGAAATTATTTTCATTATATCTCAAAAAAAAATAAAAGATACGTATAAAAGCATATAGATAAAAATCAAAGGGATCTTTCTGGCTTATTTTTGTTATTTATTATTTTTCTTTCACACAAAAATTGACAGAGTTATGAATGTTTAAAGACTGCGCGGCCGCGCAAATTGGAAAAAAAAGTTTTTATAAAATCGTGAGTTTTCTGAAAATAGTTTGTACTAAAGTAGTGAATCTGCTAGAATCCATTAAGATGTCTATAATGAAGTGAATTCTAGATGGAATGTGAATTACTTTAATTCTGGTGGAAATGGCGCACATTAAACTATGTGATTTAAAAGAAAAAAACCTCGTATATGCTTCTTATTTGTTTTTTATTCTTTCAACACTGCTTTCCCTATATCAAAACATAAATTGAACATTAATAAAACTCAAACGTGGTACTCTCAAGGCCTATGTATTTCATATATAAATTATTGCGTTTAGAAAGAGAATCCAAACATAATAGTAATTTTAGTTTTATGATTTATTTTTTGAAATATAGAGAAATTTTCAACGATTTATGTGAACTAGCAAAAATTAAGAACAATGATAATATTATCTTCACTTCTCATAATAAACAAAAAGCGATGTGGTCACTCATAAAATCGGAAGTTAACTTTAAAGCAAATTCTACCAATATTGAATGCCTTAATATTAATAATATAAAAATTTATGATCAGCTATTAATTGCCAACGCATTTAATATTTTTTTCGTTAATGAAGCTTTTAATTTGACTTCAAATATAACTATTGATCCGGTCATATCAAATGCAATCTTTCTAAAATAAAAACTAATTCAAATTCCTTTTATCTATATCCTATATCCTCCGAGGAATTGTCGCATGCAATTTCTTCTCTTAATAATTCTTATTCCTCAGGACCAGATGAAATTTCATCTGACATTTTAAAACAATTTTTCCCATTATTTATTGATAAACTTCTCATATGTTTTAATAACGCTATCGATAAAGGCACCTATCCAAATCATCTTAAACATTCAAAAGTTAAGCCTCTTTATAAGAAAGGGGCCACTGATTTAATTAATAATTACAGACCAATTTCATTGTTAAATACTTTTGATAAAATTTTTGGAAAAATCTTACATAGTCGCCTTAATAATTTTTTAACAAAAAATGGTATTCTATTTAAAAATCAGTTTGGATTTCGACAAAAATGCTCAACATCCCATTCTATATACACTTTATTACATGATATTGTTTATTCTTTTGAAGATGGTAGCTTTTGCATTACAATTTTTTGTGACTTGTCCAAAGCCTTTGATAGTATCTCCCATGATATCCTTTGTAATAAGCTTGAAAAATACGGCGTGCGTGGTTTAGCTCTTGACTTATTTTCGTCTTATTTATCAAACAGGACTCAGTCTGTTTACTTGAGCGATGATGATGGTTCGGTAATAATATCAGACAAATTAAATATCAAACTCGGTGTCCCTCAAGGTTCAATACTTGGACCTTTATTATTTCTTATTAATATAAATGATCTTCCAAATTGTTCAGATCTTTGTAAATTTATTCTTTTTGCTGATGACACTAGTATTATTGTTAAGGGAAATTCTTTGGAAGAAATAAGTAACAAATTAAATTTAGTAATGGCTTCAATTTCCAATTGGTTTAAATCCAATAATCTTTTACTCAATAATGATAAAACCCAAATAATGTCATTTCGTACCGTTAATAAAATTAATAATGAGATAAGCTCGCTGAACGTAAATGATACTATTTTCAAATTTTCTTCTATCTCGAAGTTTTTAGGCATACAATTGCATAAAAACTTAAATTGGGACTATCACATTGATTCTATACTAACACCCAATTTAACGAAAACGTGTTTTATGTTAAGAGTTCTTAAATCTAAAGTTAGTTTAAATTGTCTTCTCTCAATTTACTATTCCAATTTTTACTCACACATCGCTTATGGAATCCAGTTTTGGGGGTTCTCTCCATCTCTTAACCGCATTTTCAAACTTCAAAAAAGAGCTTTGAGAATAATTTTTTCTATTAGTTCTTTATCCTCTTGTAAAAACATTTTTCGTGAACATAGTATCCTTACCGTTCCCAGTATATTTTTCCTCATTACTTTATCGTTTATAAAAAATAATCCCGAACGTTTCAATTTGTCTTCAATGTCAAATTCTCATTACAAGACAAGAAACTTAACTATTAAAGCACCAGTATTTAAACTTGCAACGTCTTTTAACTCAATTGACGGATTTGGAATTCAACTTTTTAACTTACTACCATTTCACATACGAAAACTAAATAATCATAAATTTCACAATACTATAGTAAAATTCTTAAAAGCTCAATATTTCTATGATATTTCAGAATTTGTTAATTTTGATATTAAACAATACTTTGCTAACCAATGATAATTTAGTAATCATCTGCCTCTCATTCATATGATCTTTTCCCTAAATTTTATTATTTAATAAATTTTACTAACCCTTTCTATATAAAATATCTTTTATTCAAATTCATTTATTAGTATATTTCTTTTTTGATACTGCGCTTCTTCCTTTTTGCAGATCCAAATTAGAATTTGACGCACATTAACGGACAGGATTGATTCAAGTCTATTTTCTGTCAGCAACTGTCCACATTGCACTTATTATTCCGGATCTTCTAACGGTGTCCAAAACGAAGATATTAAATTGTGCATCATATTCTGAAAACATGCATTGATTATCTAAAATGTTTCAGTTGGTCTCAACTGAACATATCTAATTTTTCTTTTCATTCCAGACTTGGGATGAACTCGGATCGCGTCACTTGCGGTTTCATGATCTCCGATATATATATATATATATATATATATAATTTTTTGTTTTGTTTTTTTCATATTTTAGCGTAAATACGCGTTACCCATGTTCAAAGTCACTCAGAAATTGAGTGGTAATGTTCATGATTATGTAACGTACAATAAAGCGTTTAGAGGTGAAATTTCTTTATGTCTGAGACTTTTCACCAAACTATAAACTATAAACTATAAACTATAAACTATTTGCACGATAGCTCACTCATTTTACACGCAAAAAACTTGTAACAGCACTCATTTTAAAACTTATGTTGAGCACAATAAAACTCAATTTCACCGAAATGCATAAAATGTAAAACCTCGACACTAGATGGCTTTAAATACAATAATTAAATCTTGAACGAAATAAAAAACGTCTTTGCTCTTTCAAATCTTGCTTAATATTTTTCCTAGAACACTTTATGTAATACCGATTTATTAAGATTTTTATTGACATTATTTTGTTCATAACATGATTTTCGTTAGAATGTATATTTTAGGAGATATTTGCAAAAAAACGAAGAAAAACACCAAAAATATATGAATATTTAGTGGCCAGTAATTTGAAAAGTATTAGTTTTTTTGAAAAACTATAAAAGACATTTTTTTCTTATAATTAGTTCTTCTATCGATTTCCGACGTTATTTTAAAAAAATGTAATTACACAATTGAGAGGGGGTGTCATCCCCCTGGGGGGTGATGGCGCAACCCGAATTGTTTTCACTTTTGAACTTGGGGGTAAGATAAACCTAATTCCAAAATTTCATTCAATTCGGAGCACAGTAAAAAAATTCAGAGGTTATACCCTTTTTTCCTCTCTGTTTACTGCACTATAAGACAAATGACACGAAATTTTTAAATCTTGAAAACTATCGTGAAAACATTTAAAAATAACTTATCTCTAAAAAAATTTCTACATTTGAGTGCCATGAATTCTGAAACAGTCTAATATAGAAGACGATATCATATAGTGAAACATATGTTAACTAATAAATTATTTATTAGTAGCAACTAATAAATTTATTACATCACTAAAAAAGAAAGCTAGATTTTTAACTTCCCGAAGGAGAAGTTTATGTCTTCTAATTCATCAAAAATACGACTCGCTAATTTTATGTTTTTTCGACGTTTCATGCCATTCTGAATCGAATGAAACCAAATTTGGAAAAAGTATGTGTAAGTATGTGAACAGATTTTTTGCCGTAAATCGATGTTTTCTCAAAACATGGCTGGGACCTATTTCCAAAATTTAAAAGCCATTCGATGCCCCTCGATGAGGACTATTGTTTGATAGTTTTGTGCCACGATCGACCAAGCCGAATCTTTATGAATAGCAGAAAAGTGAAAAAAATTTCGTCCACGTTTTAGCCCCCAATTCTGAATATAGGTAATTCAAAAACCGTTCGAAAGAATTAATTGGGAATCGTGCTGATTAGTTTTTGGTAGAGATCGGCCGGGTCGTTTTCTTGTAATAAAGTGTTAAAAAGCTTTTTTTCGACGATTTTTATCATTATTTTTTTGAAAATGCGTCAAATTTAGCAAAAATTGGTATCGTTTTCATGGCATTTGACAACGATAAAACAAACAAACAAAAAATTGTCATAATTAGACCGTTCATCGACGTTTGCTCAAAACGCCTGAACCGATTCAAAAAATTAAAATCAAAATTTAAAAGCCATTTGATGTATCTCAATGAAGATTATCGTTTCTCAGTTTTGTGCGACGATCGACCGAGCCATTTCTTTGCAATTTGGAAAAAAGTGTTAAACTTTTCGTGATACTACCGAATCGATTTTATAAACTCAAAACTGTTTGAAAGATATTATTTGTGAATGATACTGATTAGTTTTAGGTGAAAATCTATCGAACCGTTTTCTTGTAATTAACTGTTGAAAAAAAAATTGAAGCCGAATTGAGAATGAAAAGCTGTATCTTTTATATACTTTGCTATTAAAAGTAACTTGCAAAATATTTTTTTTTATTAATTCTATATGAGATGAGCAAACATGTAGGTACATCACATATTATAATATGCCTATAAACATTATCAACATAACTAAAACGACATCTATTCATTCTTATTTATAACTGTAAAATTATAAGTTTATCTCAAATTTTGGCATTGAAGAGTGTTATCTGAAATCGTTTATACCTTTATGACGTGAGCTGTAAATCAAAGGTGGATTTTGTCTTGTTTTCACAATAATTTAATAATATCATTTATCACTGTAAATTACTAATATCATTTATCATAACAATTTAATAATATCACATATCTAATTAGTTAATAATAATTGTTAGCGGCCTTGTTTAGTTTTTATGTAGACTTCAAATTTGCAATTACAAAATACTTACTTATAGCTTTAATTTTTCATCAATTACCTGAAGATTCTGAAAAGTACTAAAATAAATTGTAAAATTACACATTAAATAGAATAACTTATTGAAATAATTTGCTAGTTTTTGTTGTAAAAATATACATAATATGTTAGAACACTTTTAATAACATTATAAAACCAAAACACTACGAAAAATGAATTTAATTTTTAAAATCCAGAAATTTACTGAATAATAATATTATCGAATATTTTTACCTTTCCGTAGGGTAAGTTATAGTAATCGCAAAAAAAAATCGAAAAGGAAAATTGTTATATATCTATATCTTTTAAAGGTTTCTGAATATTTTGGCATACCTTAAAAAACCTTGGAATACCTTGGATGTTTATGTGTGTGTGTGAATGTGTGTGCGTGTGTGTGAGGGGAGGGGTACAAATTTTTGTCGACGATTTCGGAAACACCGATCAACCGATTTAAATAATTTAAAAAACATTCGATTTGTATTGATAAGGAGACGTGCTGATTAGTTTTTGGCGAAGGCAGGTCTAGCAGTTCCGAAGATAAGGGGCAAAAAGTGCCAAAAACGGTAACTCCGTTTTTAAGAGAACGGAGCGTCCGATTTCAATAATTCAAGAAACATTTTACTTGTATTGACAAGTTGAAAAAGTGATTAAATTTTTGGGAAGGCAGGTCTAGAGGTTATGGACTCTCAATAAAATAAGTTAAAAAATTGTCATTTGGCGTTTTTTTAACATTTTGTTTATTGGACATATATACATCAAATTATCAGATATCAGATTATCAGATCAGTTCCGTACCAAGATTTTTAATTACGGTACGAGAAGTTTCAGCAATTTGCCTTAAGGAATCACGATGCCATCACGCATCCTACTAGTTGGATTTTATATTTTATATAGAAGCAATCAAGGTGAAAGTGTATTATATTCGGAAAAAATATTAATTTCAAACTTACTATTTTATTATATGACGTTGCAAATGTGTGACTATGATTTTCTTCATCAGCGTAAACTTGAACAAATTATTTTAAACAATTTTAATAAATATTTTATTTTTATTATTTCATATGTTCATACATAATTAAATTAATTTATTTATTACACTTTTAGGCAATCAACGGTCACCAAACACCAAAAAAAGATACGGACCTTGTGAAGATCGAGACCTCGGATCTTCCTCAATTAAGGGATTTGTTCAAGCCGCAAAATTATCCTGAAACGATATTCGTCTACTATTTTATAGATAATTATATAAATTGGCTGAAAAAGGAACCAAATATATCGATAGATTTTTACAGTTTGGATGGTAATTGGAAAGATGGCACTTTCGTGGCTCATTTACCAGTGAGTATTTGCAATTTTCCATTGCAACAAATGTACAAATTTTTCTAGATAGATATTAAAAAAAATTATGAGCAAATGTAAGTTTTATCTCATAATACATAATGAAGTAATTTATCTTTTTTAGGATCAAAACTATGTGGTGACCTACAGCAGAAAACCAGAAATCCAGCGATGGGATAAAATGGCAAATTCTAAAGTTTTAAAATGGAAAGAAGGACTAATGATTGGTGGTTTGCATAGTAATTTACACAAACCAGTTTTGGATTCTTTGAAGAACAGTATTGATTTGGTACCTCTTAAGGAAATTCCTTGCCCTTACCATTGGCTGCCGAAGGAGAAAGCTTTAGAGTTTGATGTCAGGTATTGTCATGTGAATATTTATTTTATGTTTGGATAAACGTAAATTTAGTAAGATTTTAAACATATATAAAAAAACTATTTTATGGTTAATAAGATACATCAAAAATAGAACATAATAAAAATTTATTGGTGGAATTAGTTCACGTATGTCAGAATCAGATTTGGATTTGTATATTAAGAAACTAAACAAAAATTTTTGGGAACTATTGTTATTTAAACTAGTTAGCTGTGACTTGCAAAAGAACTTTCCGACATGTATAAATAATCGACTTAATCAATAATAAATCAATATATTAATTTATGAGTAATTTATAGGAATGCGGAATTGCTGTATGGCATCATAGTGTGACAAACTAATGCATATTATTAAATTTTGTGAAAACAACATTATTCATTATACATTATTGATAAACGAGCACGTGCTTATTATATACACATATTATTTTCCTATAGTAATGGGTCACAACTCGAAATTGAAAATTTTTGCGTATCATTACGTTTAATCTGAACATTTGGGCATACCTAAAAAAATGGATGTGTATGTGTATGCGTGGAAACAATTTTTCGTTGACGATTTTGGTCGTATGGGGAAACTGATTTGAAAAATTCAAAAAGCAATCGATTCCTATTGATAAAGAGATGTGCTGATTAGCTTTTGGCAAAGGCAGGTCCAGCGACTTCGGAGATTTGAAGCAAAAAGCATCTAAAAACATTCTATTCGTAATGATGGGGAGAAGCGGTGATTAGATTTTGGCAAAGGTCTAGCCGTTTCGGAGATACAGAACTAAATGTGCAAAAAATGGCAGTTTTTGAGAGAACTTAGCATCCGATTTGAATGATTTAAAAAACTTTTTGCTTATGTTGACGAAGCGATTGCTTTTGGGTAAAGACATTTTTTTATTATTTTTTTTTTAATTTTCAAAAAAAAAATTTTTTTTGAATGTCGAAAAATAATTTGGATTATAATTCTTATTCTAGCTAAACATCACTTATAATACTTCATATACTTATAATAATCGATTTGAAAACATTTAATATTCCTCGAATATTTTATTAAAATACGGGAAGTTCCAGCAATTTGCTTTAAGGTACGATGCCATACACTACTAGTTTTTTAATTAAACCACTTTTTCAAGGACTGTAATATTGTAGTATATTCATTAAGACCTGGAGCTCTATTGCCATGTCAAGTTTCAATCAAACCGGCGAGTATTTTTTTAGCAATATATTACGAAGAATCTGCTTTCCCGATCTTTGCGCAAAACTAAGTAGTACGATTCCCTGATAATATTTTTCGAATAGTTTCTGACTCTTCAAAATCGGTTCAGAATTATTGTCAAAAAAGCAAACGAAAAATTTTACACTTTTTCATAACTTTAATGAAACGGCTTAGCCGATCGTATAAAAAAAAAATAAAAACGCGAGTGCTTAACAAGTTTCAACGAATGGCTTTTAAATTTTTGATGTCGTTTTACCCGTTTTTGAGAAAACGTCGATAAAATGTCTAATTTTCATCATTGCAAAAGAGCTGGTAATCTTTTCAAACTTTGATGAATTTTTAAAATTAAACGACTTGTCGTCGGGAGGTTATATTTTAATATCTATTTAAGACCATAATATCTATCGTTAAAAATGTTTCATAGTAAAGTCCAAAATTTTTTTTAACGGTTAATTACGAAGAAACGGCCAGGACGATCTTTACCAAAAACTAATTAGCACGATTTTCAACTAATATTTTTCGATTGTGGTTTAAATCGTGGATGAAAAATTTAACTTTTTTTTGCTAAAAATAAAGAAGCGGCTCTGCCAAGCGGTTCAGCCGTTTCTGAACAAACATCGACGAAAGGTCTTCACTTACATAAACACACACAACTATATATACAAACACATACATACATTACTCTGGTCTCATTCGATTCAGAATGACTTGAAACGTCGAGAAAATTTTAACAAGAAAATTTGATTTTTTTGCGAAAACTTAAACTTTCCCTTCAGGAAGTTAATAAAACGTTAAAAGTAAAAAGTAGTTTCTATATATATAATTTTTGTATCAACCATGTTAAACTTTGAGCTATTAGAAAATTTAGAAAACAAAATTTATTTTTATTTACATAACAAAGATTTTGAAAAACTTGAAAGTCAATGATCGAAAAATTTACTTTTTGTTTAATTTGGATAAGCTTGACCTTTAAACATAACCAAATAAATACATTTTACGTCATTGTTTATGGAATTTTTTGATTCAATCGCTAAATCATTATAAAATAGACATTATATTGATATTATCGATATCAAAAACATGACATTACATATTTCACTTATCACTAATTTCTTAGAATTTTTCAATGTAGTAAGTTCTGTCGTTAAAATTATCAGATTATTTAATTGATATATAATTTCTAATAAATTTACAATCTTTACACAGCGGCACACTTTTGATTTACGATAATTTTATAATATTAATGATTCTGGGTAAATAAAGGATTGGTTGAAATTTTAAAGGATAAATTAATATGAAATGAAAATTTGGTGTTACTTTTCACTACATTGGATAAAATAATTACGTTCTTTTATTAATTTCTTAAAGAAATTTGTTTTCATCAAAAAATCCGATTCGCTAATGTTATGTTTTCTCGATGTTTCAAGCCTTTCTGAATCGAATGAGACCAAATTCGGAAAAAGTATGTATGTGTGTGTGTATGTGAACAGATTTTTTGCCGCAAATCGACGATTTCTCAAAAACAGCTGAATCGACTTTAAAAATTTAAAAGTTATTCGATGTATATCGATGAGGACTAGCGTTTATCAATTTCGCGACAATCAGCCAAGCCGTTTCTTTGTGAATAGCAGAAAATGAGATTTTGCAACAGATCAAGATTGATTAAGCTAAAATTGTGAAAAGATCTGAAAAGCTTTTTAGACTAAAGATCTATGAAATTTAGTTAAATATCTTAATTTAGATTAGACGGAATCTAAAAAAAATATTATTGTCTCCTGAGAAATTTAAAATCTTCAATTTTTAGAGATTATTCCATAAATTTAAAGCAAATTTCTTTTCATTTATAAATTTTTGAAGTAATAACTTCTTTTTTTCTTCAGAAAATCGTGAAGTTTAGAAATTATTTTGTTCAACGTTTCGGGGATATGGGATGCCTTCTTCTTCAGGAAACATTGATAACAAATGAAAAAAAAATTATTAAGAATAAGTGTATACATTTATATTCCTAAAAAAAATTGAAACCATTCACCTCTTACCTTCATAGCTGATCATTTTCCCAATCAAAGACTGAACAAACATAGAATCGCATCAAAAACTACATTTGAAAATTCATGTTCACCTTACTTAGTAATTTTCAATACTATTTTTTTTTCAAAATATCAGATGCCCTGATGGATACTATTTTGGAGATTTGAGAGAAGATCAAGCACCGTACATAAACTCATATTGGCCCCATGCTTTCACAGATTCTGTTAAATTTGTTCGAGATCAACTTGTTCTAAATGGAGGATTAGGTAAATAAATACTTAATCTTTATATTTTTTAAAATAATTCTAATTATTTCGAATCTCTCAACATAATCAAAATAATTCTGTTTAAATCTTCAACGTGTTCTTGCAGGATTGTACGAAAAGGGAACTGACGATTTAGTTTGTTGGATTATCCTCAATAACTACGGAGGTTTAGGTATGCTCCACACCTTGGACAAGTATAGAAGACGAGGTTTTGGAGAATTGATGACCAAAAATTTCAGTAAGAAGTTGGCATCAGGTGGAAGAGATATCTTTGCAGCCACCGTTGTCGGTAACGTCAGTGCTTATATGTTCAAGAAACTTGGTTTTACCACTTTGGGCCTGACTACTTGGTATCAATTTTAAGTGATAAAATAAGTGCTATATGGAACTATCACTTATTTTATCACTTAAAACTTTTTCTCTTAGATGTAGTGATGAATACATAATTTCAGGTTTGCATATAAATTAATGTAGCCTCACCGAAAATAGTTGTGGTTTCTATTTATTCTTGAATAAAATTGCTGTCTTTTTTACTTTTTGTAAAGTAAAAAGGGACAGTATATCTGATCTCTCGATTATATATATATATATATATATATATATACATATATACAGGGCCGGTCCTGCCTTGCATGCGATGCATGCAAAAAATGCGGGCGCACGCCTTAGGGGGCGCCAAATCGAGTTTTGGAAATTAAACGTATAATATATTAATAAATTGTAATAAACAATCTAACTTACCTAGGGATACGGGGACACAAAAAGCATATTTATTTTGCAATGTGATATCAGTAGAAACAATTATTCGATTAATGACTCCGCAAATTACTAAATAACAGCTCTGTTTATTGCTTAATCTACTTATTCAATATTTTCTTTGTTTGAAGTTACGGTGGAATCGAAAAAGAAATTATCTAGTGTTCAATCCCGTAAGCGCAAACCTACGAAGTTTTAAATTATTCGGCATTATTGACGAAAAATTGCGAGCTGATTTAGTTGAAACGGAACTTGTTAAAAATATAAACAAATTATAATCGGGAAAATAAAAAATGGGGTGTCAGTGCTTAGAAAATAGCATGTTTATTCCGAGGAATTGAATTGTAACTTTTGCGTTTGTTCCAAATGTTTCGCTTCTGATGAATTTTGAAAGTTGAAGACATGCGTGATTAGGGTTATGGAAATAGAACAAATCTAAAAAATGAAAGCAAAATTTACTTTGGAACAAAAATCATAAGGCTTTTTTTATACCTAGTGGTGTCCATACTCTAAATTTAATAATTATTAACTATGCAGAAATGATACATATCAAATATAATTAGATTTTTTTTTCAATATAGTTCAAGAAATGTGTATTTTTTTTTATACTTTACTAATTTTTGGGCAATACTTCTAAAATACGTTAAAAAAATATCACAATCACAATTGAAACAATCTGATATTCTGAATATGACGGGAAAACAAGGATGAATACAATTCGGGTCTTACGATATCAATAGGGAGAATTTTACGCCGCAATTTTAGATATTGTAAATAATGAAAAATTAAATTGAATTAAAATTTTAAAAATTCAACATGAAATACATGAAGCTAGTTTTTTTTCAGCTCTCCTGGTATGATTTGCTCAATAGAATAAATCGCATAATAAATAAGTAAAATGTTTCAAAATCCAAATATTAATATTGCACATACGTTAAAAGTAATTGAAAATTTAAAAATATTTGGTAATAATCAACCCGCGAATCGCCTCGATTTTCTAAATAACTTTAAAATCAATGTATTTTATACGCTTTTAGATTATATCCAATTTTTTGTGTACTAAATCCTAAATAATTAAAAATCCTAGATAAAACTAAATTCAGAATAATTAAAAATTAATTTAAAAATAATATGTACATATTTATATAATTTTAATGATAAACTGTTAAAACAGTTAAAATTAATAGGGGGGGGGGGCGCTAGAAAAAAATTTGCATGCGGGCGCTAAGGACCCCAGGACCGGCCCTGCATATATATATATATATAAATATATATATATATATATATATATATATATATAGGGTGGATGTTTTCGAATTTTCTTGCTCACAGGAGCTCAAATGCTTCCAAATTGATAAAAAACAATTCTCTGAAAGTTTTAGCTCTCTTAATGGGACCGGCCGTGGTCCCGTGGTAAGAACGTGGGCTAGCAAATCCTAGTCCCGGGTTCGAATCCAACCTCGGTCGGTTCGGTATCAAAACAGCTTGATACCAAATTTTCACTTGAAATCATAGATTTCAAATATGATTTCAAGTGAAAATGGCCTTTCGTGGGCAAAGCTGTAGTGGCAACACGCCACTTGGAAGTAAAGAGGTACTAAGATGGTATCGCTTTGAAATACAAAAAGGAAGTCGAATTTGTATCTCTATACAACAGAAAAATGTAAAGGCTCTGACATCGTGCAACCATGATTGAGTGCATTTTCAACTCAACCCACGGACCTGCCCTTGGAAGAAATATTCGTAAAGAAAAATGTAATAAACAGTAAAAATATGTAAAGAAAAAGTAAAATATATGTAGTATGTAAGATAAAAAGAAAAAATAATTAGTAAAAAAAAAAAAAAAAAAAATAGTAACTTTAAGATAGTATCACTCCTGCTAAAGTTTCTTCCTAAGTAAATACTTATTTTATGAAATATATCAAATTTTTGTTGTAAATTTTTCATTTATAATCAAAATAACCAAAAACTAAGTTATTTTCAAAATTTTGATTCACTTGTCGCTAAGTTATAAAACAAATAAAATTTTATCCTTGTTATTTCCATAGAAACGTTGGTTGGAGTGCGGTCTATCTGAAAGTTATTATTAAGAGCTAAAACTTTCAGAGAATTGTTTTTTATCAATTTGGAAGCATTTGAGCCCCTGGTAGCAAGAAAATTTGAATACATCCATATTAAGGACCACCCTAATATATATACTATGTATATATATTAACAACGCGTTCATATTTTCAAACCGTGTTATAAAAGCTTGTTTTGTTAATTGCGATATATTGATCTTTAATTGTGAAAATATTTTCGAAGAGAAGTTTTGTTTTACTTATATTTATATTTAGATATATGATTACAACAAAAACTGATATCAGTACTGCTTGATATCAGGTTTAATGAGGGAATGGAATCTGCAATTCTGGTTGCAAGGCTAATGCTATTACCACTGAGCTACTAAACAAACTTAACCATAATTTTAAATTATATTATTTGGGGCTGAGTATATATATATTTTAACTTTTGTGTTTTCTATATTTCGTTTCACCATCCAAACAGTGTTTCTCAAACTTTTTACAATCTTTATCTTTTATCTATACATATTTGGTGATGCTTTTATGTCTTGAATTCAGTTTTACCTCAGATCAAATTCAGTTTGCTTGATAGTACATTTCTTTATTTTTATTAGTATATATATATATATATATATATATTTGTATTATATATATACAGGGTGTCCCAGACGTTGACGTTAGGCCAAAGCGGGTTGATAGTATTGACCTTAACTATCATGAAAAAAATAGAAAAAAAATTATCTCACGTTGTTTGGAAATTGTGAGCTTTCAAGTGTAACCTAGAAATTTGCTGAAATTATGACCATTTTTCGTTTATTGTAGTTAATTTTTACAAACTTTGTTCATTTATACTTTGGCAGCGTAACCATGAATATCATTTCTATGACTACAACCAAAAGCAATAACACAATTGTCCTAAGTTCTTTAGAATTTAAACTTTTTGTTGAATTATAAATTTAAAATCTAAAAAATCGGTTGGCATTGAGAGTCTCTTTTTAAAAAAAAAATCCTGAAGTGTGTTGGCAAGTTTCATAAAAAATTGGCGCATTTAATCAGGATTGTAAAATGGTAAAATAGTTTACCATTTAAAATGAAATATTTGTGGAGTACTAGGAAAATTATACTTGATAACATTTCAAATTAACCCAAAAATATAAAAGATTTTATTTAACGATGTTACTTTAGTGAGAGTCTCTCCTTTAACAAAAATTTCCCAATTTTTGATGATACTTGCCAACACATATCATCAAAAATAGGCGCTATTAATCAGGATTGTATAATGGTAAAATAGTTTACCATTTAAGATGGAAGATTTGTGGAGTACTAGGAAAATTATACTTGATAACATTTCAAATTCACTCAAAAATATAAAAGATTTTATTTAACGATGTTACTCTGGTGAACGAGGCTTTTTTTGAAATAATATACATACACTAAGTATCGAGAACTGTTGCATAAAACTCAAAATAATTACTGAAGCATTAAAAAATTTTGTCGCCTTCAAAATAGACCTTATTCGAAGTAATGAAAACATGCCAACAATTAATCCAATCTTCAAAGCATCTTTTAAACGCCTTTATAAGGATATTCTTCAGCTCCTTTGGCGTTTTTTTCTTACAAACATTGTTAGTGGAATCTATCGATCCAAAGAGGTATCTAACAATAGTATTACTTGTAATTCTATACTTAAGTATCCATGACAATAAATAATTTACAGAAGGATAGATCTAGTGAATACGTTGGTTGTCCCATGATATTTCATGAGTTTATGGCCAAAAAAGCGTTCACAATATAGGCGTTGTGTGAAGAGAGTTCAACAATGATGGTAGAGATGAACAGCAAAGCGTCTCATGCCCAATTTGATGGTATAATTGATTTGTTAGATATGTTAAGGTCAAAAACTAACTTGACTGAACCTAAATGGTAGTTTACCAACACCATTTCTTGACTTAGGCGACGATTTCATCCATTGAAGATGTTGATGGACGTTCAGATCTTTCACGACCTTACGGCCTTCTGGCTTCACACTACTCATAAACTAGGATTTTTGATAAAGTACACTTGCCATAAGCTTCATGTATAATATTCAATGATTAGTCGTATATAATTCCGTTCGATAATTTTGTTTCTTGTGAAAATCGACAAACATGCTTGCAGTTACCCGAAGTAAGTGAACACAAATAACAAAATAATTAACAAATAACGATCACACTTTGCACCAATGTTAAGAACAGTTGGGCTCCAGAAAAGAATATTTAACATATTGAGCCTCTTTTTGAATGAGCAATTCCCGGTATTTAGTTGGCAGTATATAAATATTACAGCTACAATTAGTAAAATAGAAAATTAGATAATATTTATTAATTCAAATCTATTACTGTTAAATTGTTGTCATAGTATATAATTATGTTTATAAATCAATATATATATATATAATATATATAAAGTTTATTAAAAGTGTTAATAAAATCATTAAATGAGTTTCATGTTAATAAAATGACTGAATCATTAAATGATTGTCGTCGTTGATTATATTTTAATATTTTTATTTGAAGTATTTCGCAGTTTTGATTGGTGGTATTTAAAAATGAAAATTATTCATTATTTTATTCTTAATATTTTTATTTTATTAAAAAAAGAAACATTTTAGATAAATTATAAGGTAATCAACTTTCAAATAGTTTGAAGCTTTTTTTTTTTCATTTTGAGGTCTTGTGTTTAGTTTATGATACCTAAATATCATTTTTAATTGTACATTATTTATTAACTTTCCGTAGGGTAGTTATAGTAATGGGCCGAAAATCGAAAATGAATTTTTTTGCATTTTTCGTCGTTTTGAAGGTTTCTGAACATTTTGGCATACCTTAGAAAAAATTGATGCATGTGTTTGTGTTTTGTGAGACTGCAATTTTTTGTCCACGTTTTCGGGCGCGTGGATCAACTGATTTGAATCGTTCAAAAAAATTTGATTCCTATTGATAGAGATGTGCTGATTAGTTTTTGGAAAAGGCAGATTCAGCCGTCTCGGAGATACAGAGCATTGAGAGAACGGACCATCCGATTTGCATGATCCAAAAAACAATCAATTTGTCATGATGGAAAGAAGTAATGATTAATTGATTGGCAAAGACAGGTCTAGCCATTTTGAACATACGGAGCTAAATATGCAAAAAATGTCATTTTTTGAGAGAACTAAGCATCCGATTTGAATGATTTAAAAAACTTTCTGCTCGTGTTGACGAAACGATTGTTTTTGGGAATTTTATTTTATTTTACAATTTAAAAAAAAATCCAATTTTTTTTTATGTATATCAAAACTAATTCAGATTTTAATTTTAATTATTGCTAAAGTTGTAAAGTCCACTTATATACTTTAAATAAATAATTTGAACTTTTTAATTCAGTTCATATAATTTTTATAAAAATTATACAATGATACAGTATTTATAATAATCTATGTGAAAACATTTAATATTACTCGAATATTTCGATACGGTACGTAAAATTCCAGCAATTTGCCTTAAGGGACAATGCCATACAGCACTAGTTTGTTTATAAAATAGAAAGTTTCACTTCTTTCCAGGCATGCCATACATCATTGTCACCATGAGCGGTAACCAAGATTTTTGGCAATGTTATATAAATAAATTGTACGTATATTTCAATCAAGATATAATTTTTTTATCCATAAATAAAAAGAAAGAATTTCTAGTTTTTCATGGATATGTTTATGTTTGTCCTTTATTTGCTCCTCTAAATAATCAGTATCGATCTTGATTTGCTTTTCAGTAATTTGTGTTCATATTATTCATAAACTGATAGCAAATGTGCAAATATCTTTTATTAAATTATGTTTTAATAAAATTGATTTCGAAATCAAATTATCTATGATGTTGACATATGTTTGCGGCGTTTATGATATAATCTGTGTGTGATTAAAAGATAAAAAGACATATATGCACATTATCAATTACGTACATATTTTTGATCGCTTTTTTAAATCTACTGGCGCCCAATTTATGGCGCCAAGATATGCTTTTAGTCAAGAAAATATCTTCGACTAGCGTGTAGTAAGACAATACTGGGTGTAAGTGGCATTGTGCCATAATCAATTTTGCATGAATTTCTAGAGAGGGGTTAATACTTGATTTAATCAATAAGAACTGAGATCTACTTAGAATACGTGTCTATTAAAACTTTGAAAAAAGTTTATACTTTTCTGCTAATTATAAAGAAACGGCATGGTCGATCGTCGCCCAAAACTATTCAACGCAATTCTTTATCGAGTTAAATGATTGAGGAATAAATATTTGATATCAAAATTATATCGTAATTTTTAAAATTATCTTTTAATTAAATTAAAAACAATGTGTAATCTGCTAATAATCTCCAAATAATCTTCAAAAAATGTATTTAACCTTTTTGGAGCTCGAGCTGGTGATCACTTTATGAGACAAATGTAAGAGTAAAATTCTTAAATTAGTTTGTTTTGGCATAATAAAGTATTATTTAATTTGGTATTAATAAAGTAAATATTGTGTTATCAGGTTTTAATATTTATGCAAATTTCCATTAGCATAATTTTTTTTAAATAAAAACTAGTGGTGCATGGCATCGTATCTTAAAGCAAATTTCTGGAATTTCTCATGAAATATTCAAGGGATTTTAAATGTTTTCAAATAAATTATTATAAATACTGTAACTTTCATTATTTATATTTTATAGATAGAATATGAGAGCTTATATATTGGACGACTATATTTGTATATCTAAACAAATTACCAAAACCTAATCTAAGAGTTAGAATGAAGAAGCTTATCTCATATTTCTAAGAATTATATAAAATGAATTTCAAAGTTAATATTATTCATTACTATATAAGTGAGCTTTAGAATTTTGGCTTAAGAATTAAAATTAAACTCCGAAAAATTTTCGATATATAAAAAATTATATTTTTTGAAAATTTTGAAATTAAAAGAAAGAAATTGATTGCTTTCCTCGAAAGTTAATTGCTTCTTCATACAGTCAACACAAGCAAAATGTTTTTTAAATCATTTAAATCGGATGTTTCTTCTTCTGTAATTTTTAGCACTTTTGGCTCTGTATCTCCAAAACGGGTGATTCTGTCTTTGTCAAAAACTAACTAGCACCTCTCGCCATTAAAACGAATTGAATGTATTTTGAATTAATCTAATCAGACGTCCCGTTCTCGCAATAACCAAATTACCATTTTCTGCACTTTTTGCTACGAAACTCCGAATCGGCTGGATCTGAAATCTAGTCAGCACGTCTCCCTATTAATAGGAATCGAATGTTTTTTTAATCAATGAACTCGGTTGATTAGTGCGCCCGAAATCGTGGATGAAAAATTGTATATATACGCACACAGCACACATACAAACATTCATTTTTTCTAAGATACACCGAAATGTTCAGAAACTGTTAATAAAGATATGTAAAAAATTTTAGATTTTTGGACGTTTACTATATTTGATATTAAAAATTCAAAATTCAATTCTTGTTTTGTTGATGTTGGATTATTTTCATCTAATTCTAATTTTATTATTTTTTTTATAAAAGCAAAATGTCATTACCTTAGTACGTTTGCTATTACTATAAATTAATCATAAAAAATTTGTTTAGTTCACTAGTTCTCGGTCTATTTTTTAGATTGAGTTTATAAGATACTCCTAAGATTGAACACTTTTCCATTATTTGATGAAGCATCATTATCAATATATTTTTTTCGGAAACAAGAACATCCTTCATCATAAAACTTTTGGATAGAGGTAAATAAAAAGTGGTGCTTTACCAAATATGAAGACTCTATTTCTCCTTCTTCTGGTGGCAGCAGCTTTCACATTATCATGTGCTGTTTCTTGTGATTTCATAAATTTCAATAATGGCGAGTTGAATTTGAAGAATTGTTCTGGAAATTTAAGCCATTTGGAACCACTAGTGGTACGAAAGTTCGATGCTTACGAAGAATTGAATTCAAGAACTGGCAATGAAACATATTTTATTGGAAATTATGTTAATCAGAGCGAACATCGAAGTTTGTGCGTCGAAACAGAACTATATGACGTTGATCATAGTACAACATTGCAGGTATGTATTAATATAATTCAAAGTATATTTAAGGTAATTATAAACTATAATAATAATTATAATAATTTGATTTTGAACAAAATAATTTTAATTAAGTGTTTATTATAACATTATAATTATAAATATCAATAAAAAATTGTAAGCGAAAATTCCAAATTATTATTTATAATTTTTTTTATATTTGTTACCCTCTCCAAAATAATTAACATCAAGTAACAGTAATGAACAATAGTATAAATTTAATAAAATAGTACAAAATAAAGAATAGAATTTTCAATAAAATTTTATCCATAGTATGTTGTTTTAATATAAAATAAAAGCAAATAAAAATAATAATAAAATTAATGAGTAAAATAAATAAAATTTCTGAATAATAAAATAATACTAGAAAAACAATAAAGTAGAATAAAAACAATAAGTGAAAGATAATAATAAATATAGCAAAACAATCAGGCTAAAACGAAATATTTCCAATGATCTCATAAATAGCCATTTGTAAACGCTGACATTGATATTATTGTTATTATTATTATCATATTATTATCTTATTATTTCTAATATTGTTATTTTGTTATATTTATTATTATTTATAATAAAGTTTGTAATCGCCAGAAAATCTGATTTGCTAATTTTATGTTTTCTCAGTGAAAAATAAAATTTAGTTTGCATATATTTGTAGAAATAGTTTTAAAAAATGAACTGTTTCAAATCTGAACTGAAAAATTGTTAGAAAAATAAGAATTTTTTTTTAATATATTAATATTTTTTACTTATCCAAAAATTTCAAAAGTGCAAACTTAAATTCTTTATCAAATCCCCCAGTGCAAACTTAAATTCTTTAACAAATTAAGCAGTTTGTTCTGATTAGCAGAAAAATGTAAAATATTTCGGCATTTTGTAATTTTGGTTTTGAACGATTACAGACACAAATAGATGTTCCAATGTCAGTATCAAACAATTCAGAATGACTCGAAACGTCGAGAAAACCCAAAATTAGCTAATTGATATTTCTGGCGTAAACAAAATCTTCTCTTTCGGTAACAACTGTTATATATTTAGAGGTTGCAATAATATGATTCTATTATGAAAACTACAGCTTTTTTTTAGTAATTTTGTTATATAATTTATTAAATTATTATATAGGTAGGTTTCTACGCAGAACGTCGTGATGGGCAAGGTTTCGGATATTTTGAGGCCAGTATAATAGTTCATGAGAACACTGACGTTAAAGAACTTATTTCATTTGACCGTAATTCATCTACTACTTGGAAGGATATGTATTTGCTATCTAACACAAATGGAAAAGCATTAGTAAGTTTTTGTTTGTGAACTAGATAATGGATTTGCAGTATATTGTTTTTTATATAAACACAATAATAATAATTAGTTGTTTCCCTGGAAGCAAGTCTATCATATGAAAGCACCAAATATCAATGAATTTTTTTTCTCTTCCTTGTATTCCTATTATTATTATTATTCACATATTCAAACTTCTGCTTCTGTTTTCTGGTCCTGTGCTTCATTATCAGTTCCCTGTATTTTTTTCTTTTCACGTAAGTCGTCAATCATCTGCATTCTTTTTTTTCTTAGTTTTTTCAGACCTCCATTTTACCATGGATGACGTCGTAAGGATCTCATCCAGTTTCCATTCCTTTTTATGATATTACTCAGTAGGGTTTTTTCTTTTACCACTCTCCTTAGCACGTCTTCATTTGTTTGTTATCTTATCTATCTGTACCATTTTTACCTCATTTAGAAACTTTATATTTATTATTATATATTTCTATTTTCTAGATGAGGTTCAACCTAGTAAACGACTACCATGTAAAGTTTGCAATAGATTATATCAAGATTTACAACTCCAATTGCTTTTATCCAACTCAAGTTCCACCAGGGACCACTAACCATACCACTTTTTGGCCGCCTGTTTCCAATGGAACTACCCCAAAACCACATCATCATAATACATCGCATGCTGACATAGATGTAAACATTGATGTTGATGGTGGAGTTGATGTTGACGTTGATGTTAATGTTAATGTCCACTGATTTTATTTGGACGAATTTTGATTGGTATTACTTTTTTCTGTTTTTATTATGCTACCGCTTGTGGAATTGTATTGTGTAGATATTATTCTATACAATATAAAATAGTATTTTATAAATATACAATAAATTGATTTTTGTTTGCAGCTTATCATCTTGTTTTTCTGTTGTTTTTTGTTAATGGACTTAAATTATAAATCCTAATGATAGAAATAACAAGTATGTAGACAGTTGTAACCTACCCAGAGGTAAGTTAGTAAAATTAAAATATAAACGTAGAATGAACTTTCCGAAATGTGTAATAATTGACTTAATCAACCGAAATTGAGATTTATATATTAAGATAAGCTTTTCAACAATTTATTTCAAAAATAAAGTTATCGCTGCCAAATAAATCTAAACGTTGCGATTTCTAATAGAATTTTCTCAAACACATTTAAATTAACTGTAATTATATTTTATATTGTACAGACCCGTGCTTGTATGCCCCAAATTTGATATTATTATTATAAATTTTAATGAATTGATAATGTTTGACTCATCATATCACAAAAGCGAATTTGACACAAATTTTGACTATAATATTTTCTCAAACTTTGATGAATTTTCAACATTCAACTATTTGTTGTTAGGCCATAATATTTTAGTATCTTCTATAAGACTATGATATCTATCGTCAAATAAGTTTCATAAAAATCGGCATTTTTTCTGCAACAGTTAAATACAAGAAAACGGCTTGGTAAATTTTTACCTAAAAATACCTGTAAGACAAAGTAATAAAGTTAAAAAAATAACATACCAAAATTTCTACGGCAAGTAGTTTGATTTCAAAAATTCATCAAAATTAAAAAAAATATTATTGTCAAAAATTGCGTCAAAAGTTGCTTCTGTGATGTGATGGGTCAATTTCTTGCCGTAGAAATTTTGGTTAGCATCATTACCATCCATTGAAATTTATTTAATTTAAAATAATAAGTTACAATTTTAGGATATACAAGCACGTGACTGTGCAATATAATTAATATAATTATAGATAGTTTAAATGTGTTTGAGAAAATTCTATTGGAAATCGCAATGTTTAGATTTAATTGATAGCCTTAACTTTATTTTCGAATTAAATAGTTGAAAATTTTATCTAAATATCTAAATCCCAATTTCGGTTGATTAAGTCAATTATTACACATTTTGGGAAGTTTATGCAACTTGCCTTAGGGCTAAATGCCACTTTCAACTATTTATTTTCTTTTATTAGATCTTTGAAATCGCTAGACCTGCCTTCTCAAAATTTTTATCAGTTCTTTATTTTATTAATACAATTAACTGAAAGAAACTGAATTACTGTTTTTGGAACTTTTTGCCTTGTATCTTCGAAACTACTGGACCTGCTATAGCCAAAAACTAATTAGCATCATTCCTTATCATCAGAAATCAAATGTTTTTTTAATCATTCAAATCGCTTGATCCGTTTTCTCGAAATCATTGACGAAAATTTGTATTCAAACACACACACACACTCACACATACATCCATTTCTTATAAGGTATGCAAAATGTTCAGAAACCTTTGGAAAGTAAAAATATATTAAAATTTTCATTTTTGATTTTTTTTGCGATTTCTATAACATGCCCTACGGAAAGTTAATAATGATTTATTATTTCTGTGAAATTTGAAATTCACACATAGGAACCAATCCGATAAAATAGACCGAAACATGGCGTTGTTATGGCAACGCTATATAATGCTCCTTTCTTCATATTTTACACATAAAACCAACTTCACGTATATGTTATCATATAACATTAGAAAGATGCAGTTATGATAACATCCTTTCTTGACGTTTGTGCGTTTTCTAGATTAAGTTTTATATATAAAATAGCTGACTGCAAAGCAGATACTTATCAGTTTGACAGTTTTTACTACCAATTTATATGAAGTGAAGACCGTAACCATATCGTAACAAAACGTTGTCATAACATCGCTATGTTGCGGTCTATTTTATCGAAGTATTGGCCCCATAACTCACTAGTTTTAAACTCACTTTAGGAAAATCCATTCTTTTGTAATAATAACATTTTAACGTTTTTATTATTTTTTCAAATAACGTATAGCTCTAATTTTTAATATTTTTGAGAATATTGGATATTAGAAAACATCATAGAAAAACTTTGTATGTATATAGCTTAGAAACTTTAAAAATAAAAACAATATTTTCAACGTTCCCTATTTTATATTATATCTTTATTGCTAAACAAAAATATTTTCAATGAGTATTATCATATATTATGGGTTCTGCTAAAGTTGTTAATTATAAAAACTTAAATACAAGTTATTAAATTGTAGTAATATACCAAAGTTTTGCAAATTGCAATATGTTAAGGATAGGAATATAAATCAAATTACAATAAAATTAAAATCACAATTCAAAATATAATAAAAAAATAAAAACAGATTATTTTATTTGTAGAGTGTTTCTTGTACATATTGCACTAATTACTAAATTTTACAAAATAAATACAAATAATAATAACAGCTTACTTAAATAAATAACATTTTTTGTAAAAATAACTTATGAAATATAAATATAAAAAATAAGTAGTAAAAAACATTTTAGTAGTAAACTATTTTCTGTTTGTAGTATAAAATGGTTTCAGAAACATATGAAATACTTAAATACTTTAATAAATATAATACTGAATTTAATTACAACTACAAATCACTCTATAATTTCTACCTCGCATAACATATTGTTTTTTAATAGTGTCACTATTATTTTTTATTGGTTAAACTAGCCGGCCCGACAGACTTCGTCCTGTCAAAAAAATTGTAATGTGGCGGTGTTTTGTGCCTACCTTTTTCTATTCTTTGCAAAAATTATCCTGAACAGAACCGTCACCCTGGTAATAATCGGTGTGAATTAAAAAATAATTAAATAAAACACTATAAGCATTTAAGAGTAAGTAATTTTAATAATGTAAATCATATTCAAAATCAGTTTAATTTTCATTGTAGTGCTTTGTGATAAACGATGTTTTT